TTCTTCTCAGCATCGATGGGGTGGGAGCCTTCGACCATATCTCAAGAACGCGCATGTTTGAACAACTCTTGGTGAATCGAACCCTGCACAAGTTGGTCTCTTTTGCGAGATTACGGTATGGAGTCCCATCGCAATACACATGGACAAATGATAGGAGGAAGGCGGGAGCAAGGCGACGCTTTAATGTCAACACTGCTTTGCCTCGCGCTCCACAGCGTACTGGAGCAAATCAAGTCCGCCCTGCCACAAAGAGCCCAAATCATCGCGTACCTCGATGACGTCTACGTGGTGTGCGACCCCGCTGAGCCACGCTCCCCCTACGCTACGCGGGACTTGGCCTGAGAGACTCCACGCGGCTTGCTCCAACAACTTACTGGGCAAATTGGGCTGATTCGTTGCACAATTTGACCCGTGCATTCCCAGAACTCGTAAAAAAACATCCGACACCATTTTGATATGATATCGGATGTGAACATTCATGCCTGGCACAATTACCCTGACTGCATTGCCGAAGCGGAGCACAACGGACGAACATGCAGCAACGCTGGATGGACCGACCGACCGACATGGGCCCAAGTGGCAGCGGGCGAGAGACCACCCGCACCAGAGCAACCATTAGCTTTGGGCGAATGGGCACATGGATGGCAAGTCTATGCTTCGGACTGTTTGGAACGACAATCCCACGACAATTTACTCCAACAACTGGGAGGAAGGGCAAACGCCCGGAGGAATGCCGCCACAACGGGTAAAACTAGAGTGTACGGAAGCATGGGGCCATATGCACCTGTCTGGCTGACGATTTGTCCTACCACTCCCACGCTCACGATGGACAACAAGCAACTCTCGTGTGCAGTGCGGCGACGGTTGGGAATTGGGGTGGTTTTCGATGGGCGGGATCCCCACGGTTATTCCACCATGACTACGAACCACTTTGGGCGGTTGAATGCCCGACATACCGCCATGGTAGGGGCCTGGAGGCAAATCTTCACAGAAGCTGGGGGGCTCATCCCTGATAGGAATGTGGAACGGATGCTTTCGCACACGCATGTCCCAATTCCTCCGAATGACCAGAAACGTCTGGACCTCATCGTCCCGGGGCTCAACGTTGAACACGGCCTTCCTTTATTCTGCGACGTTACAATTATGAACCCAATCAGTGGAAGTGGAGCGCCGAAGCCAGGAACGAGTAACAGAGGAGGGCGACTCATAGAGACAGCAGAACAACATAACAACATAACCTACTCTAATGTGATTTCTACAAGATTGGGCTCATTGCAGTGTCTCGGATCAGAAACCTACGGCAGATGGGGAAAGCAAGCGGTAGCTATCGTGCCAGCCCTAGCTCATGAACGTTGTCGGGCTCTACTTGGGGCAATCAGGAAGGGAACTGCTTTGGGTTTACTGCACAGGTGGTGGGGAATTCTAGGGATAACGCTCCAAACATCAATTGCGAACCAAATCCTACAACCCTACTCGGACCTCCCGGTGAGCCTGCTTGAGCCCACGTGCCCGCTGGACGAACTCGCTGTAGTATAGTCCAGTGGTAGCCCCCTTCTCCCCCCTCCTCCTCCTCCTCCTCCTCCTCCTCCTCCTCCTCTGACGCTGCTGAGGTGCTCTGGTTTTCCGCCTCGTCGGTTTCACCTCGGCCAGGTTTTCGGGTGCGAGCCTTGATCGTCGCGTTGCTGCGCAGTTGCAAAAAGCCCAACCAACTGGGTCAAATTCCAAACTTTCCACGTGCGATGCCGCAGCGATGCTGCAGCGTGGCGATTTGCAAACAAATTATTACGGCTATTGGACAGAGTACCACCAGGGAATGTTGATGAGGATATGGTGGTTATGTCGTCGACAACAATAATCATATGCGTTGTTGACGATCATGTGGGGGCTGCGGAAGACGAGCCACAAAAGAAATGCAACAATGCTTTACGGGCTGGGCCGTGGAACACCGCCCCGCAGTGGGAGGATGCGGATTTGAATCTCTGCAGGGATGCGCCCCTCTGCTTATTCCCAACCATCCTGTGGTGTTGGGTCCTCGTTTTGAAGAGACGGTGCCCCGCGTCTCTCCTTCCTCCTCCCCCTCCTCTCCCTCCTCCCTCCTCCCCCTCCTTGCCTCTGCTCTCGGCACACCTCTCATACGTTTCGTAACCCCATAGGGAGCTCCACCGAAGGCCCCAATGTGGGGGGGTCGCATGCGGTTCCCCCGCCCAGGGCAGCGCTTCGTGGCCCCATGGGAGCTCCACCGAAGGCCCCAGTGGAGGGGGTCGCATGCGGTTCTCCCACCCAGGGCAGCGCTTCGTGGCCCCATACGGAGCTCCGCCGATGGCCCCAGAAGGGGGGGGGGTCGCATGCCGCACCCCCGCCCAGGGCAGCGTTTCGTGGCCCCATAAAGACTCCGCCGAAGGCCCCAATGTGGGGGGGTCGCATGCGGTACCCCCACCCACGGCAGCGTTTCGTGGCACCATAGGGAGCTCCGCCGATGGCCCCAGTGGGGGTGTCGCATGCGGTTCCCCCACCCAGGGCAGCGCTTCGTGGCCCCATGGGAGCTCCACCGAAGGCCCCAGTGGAGGGGGTCGCATGCGGTTCCCCCACCCAGGGCAGCGTTTCGTGGCGCCATAGGGAGCTCCGCCGATTGCCCCATTGGGGGAAGGGGTCGCATGCGGTTTCCCCGCCCAAGGTAGCGCTTCGCGGCCCCATAGGGAGCTCCGCCGATGGCCCCAGTGGGGGGGGAGGTCGCATGCGGTTCCCCCACCCAGGGCAGCGCTTCGTAGCCCCATAGGGAGCTCCGCCGATGGCCCCAGGTCGCATGCGGCTCCCCCACCCAGGGCAGCGTTTCGCGGCCCCATAGGGAGCTCCGCCGATGGCCCCAATGGGGGGGGTCGCATGCGGTTGCCCCACCCAGGGCAGCGTTTCGTGGCGCCATAGGGAGCTCAGCCGATGGCCCCAGTGGGGGGGGGGGTCGCATGCGGTTCCCCCGCCAAGGGCAGCATTTCGTGGCCCCATAGAAAGCTCCGCCGAAGGCCCCAGTGGGGAGCTCGCATGCGGTTCCCCCACCCAGGGCAGCGCTTCGTGGCCCCATGGGAGCTACACCGAAGGCCCCAGTGGAGGGGGTCGCATGCGGTTCCCCCACCCAGGGCAGCGTTTCGTATCCCCATAGGGAGCTCCGCCGATGGCCCCAGTGGGGGTGTCGCATGCGGTTCCCCCACCAAGGGCAGCGTTTCGTGGCCCCATAGAGAGCTCCGCCGATGGCCCCAGTGGGGGGGTCGCATGCGGTTCCCCCACCCAGGGCAGCGTTTCGTGGCCCCGTAGGGAGCTCCGCCGATGACCCCAATGGGGGGGTCGCATGCGGTTCCCCCGCCCAAGGTAGCGTTTCGCGGCCCCATAAGGAGCTCCGCCGATGGTCTCAGTGTGTGGGGGGGGGGTCGCATGCGGTTCCCCCACCCAGGGCAGCGCTTCGTGGCCCCATAGGGAGCTCCGCCGATGACCCCAGTGGGGGTGTCGCATGCGGTTCCCCCACCCAGGGCAGCGTTTCGTGGCCCCCTATAGGGAACCCCACCGAATGCGTTGCTCACAAAGACGGTACTCACAACTGCATATGGTTGGGTCCTTCGCCAGGCTAATTGTCAAACGCTTTTACATGTCGTGTGACATGCATCAGACACCGTGCGCCGACCCACAAACAACACTTACCCGGGTACGGCCAAATGGGTGGGCATGCTGCCGTGGGACCGCTTGAATCATTTCGTGAACCATACCTCCGCCGACAACCAAAGATAGCTCCAATGATGAAGGGATGGGTACACATCACCATCATCGACTCAGCAACCGAAATCCGATCACTATGCGGACACCCCCAAAGATCGCTAGGTGCATCCGAAATGATACAAATTTTGGTGGAAATCAACATGTCTCACGGTTGTGGTGGTAGGGAAGGCCCCTCTCCAATTACGGCCTGGATTCTGCTTATACTCTTGCCTCGACTCTTGCGGCGCGGCGCGATTCCATGCGGAAGCCCGGGTCCGCAATAATGGAAACCTGGGTCCGCAATTCTGAAAACCCTGGTCCGCAATTTTGAAGCCCGGGTCCGCTGCTATGGAAACCCAGGTCCGCAATTATGGAAACACGTGTGTTGCTAAGGAAACTTGCGTCCAACCATGGAATTAATTCATTGTGACCATCAATCTTGGGAACCCTTACAACAATATCCAACATTCCAAGACAAAACACTTGGAACGCTGCGACGTACGAGAATGGGGTCAAACAAGCCACGTTGTTGTTGCGACTGTCTGGGATGGGGTCGATGGTGTATGCCGCTCGAGTGGTGCAGCGTTTTGGGCAAGCTGGGCAAATTCGTTGCCAAAGATTCTTAATCGGTTTCCCGAGGCGGGCCATGAAATATTGCACCGCGTCGCGTGCTTACACTCAACGGCAAATGGCAAATGGTCAACCGCTGGCAGGTCTTGGATGCCGGCAAAATGCGGACATGGGAGGCCGTCAAACTGTAGCAGCCAGCACGCACCGACCAACGTGGACTGACCATGCGGCAAGCGCGCGGCCACCTGACTTCCAAAGAAACGACGTGTTGTTATACGAATGCAAATGCGGATGGCAATACCATGCGTCCAGTCCATTGGGAGGCAAAACACTCGAACAACTCCTACGCGATCTCGCATCTGCGGGGGCATGGCGGAACGCGGCCTCGACAAGATAAGCCCGGGGTCCTGTATGGGGCCACTTGCCGCAATTTCGTTGCTCGTTTGTCCGACAGATAGGCCGACATTGGCGCGTTCCCCCGAGACGCCGACCGCAGCATCTTCCTAAGGATGCAAATTTGCCGAATTTACTGGCCACGCCCATCTAATGCTTCGCCCGCTCCTGGCCGCTCCTATTCGCTCTTGCCTGCATCATGTGTGACTGGATGCAGAGACGCTGGCATTCCCTCCTCCATGCAGACGGATTGAGCAGCACGTCGCGAGCACCGACAAAAAAGAAGCCCACGCGCATTTTCCAAGAGATCCACGGGGTGGTCGGAGCCGGCAGCGAGTCTGTGAACTCTATCTGAGTTCGGTATCCGTGTGCTGGCGAAAACTGCCCGAGGATGCAACGACTGAGCGCACTCATCGCGGAGAGACAAAGAGGTCCTCCTTGGGCGTTGCCCAGCGGGAGGGCAAGAAAATAGGATCGATGGGGAGAACGAGGATCGGGGAAAGTGGAAGGGACAATGACGATCGTAGGGCATGAAGCTGGGGGGAGGGGCAAGGCGGAGGGGGGGAAGACAGTCAGATGGAGACACCCCAAACATAATAACCTCATCTGTTACGACCCTCTACTCTTTCCGCTACATTGAAATAGACATAGACAGAAAATTAACAGATAAACCCGACCGGGCCAGAACGGGAAGCGTCGCTTTAGTCCACCAAGAATGTGAAGTATGCTCTGTTGTCGGTCTGCCGCGCAGGTATTTCGTGGCGCGCATGTTGGCGTGCGCGCGGGGTGTATTGTGCCGTGCTCTTGTGTGTTCTGCCGTGCTCCTGTGTTCTGCCGTGCTTCTGTGTGCTCTATGTGTTCTGCCGCACTCCTGTATTCTGCCGTGCGGATCCAGGAGCACGGCATAATAGACCCGAAGAGCGAAGGAGCACGGCAGAATAGACCCCAAGAGCGAAGGAACACGGCAGTAAAAGACCAGGAGCACGGCATAATAGACCTCAAGAGCGAGGGAGCATGGCAGAATAGGCCCCAAGAGCGAAGGAACACAGCAGAAAACGACCAGGAGCACGGCAGAATAGACCCCAAGAGCTGAGGGGCACGGCAGAAAAAGACCAGGAACATGGCAGACTAGGCCCAAAGAGCGAAGGAGCACGGCAGAAAAAGACTGGAAGCTAAGGAGCACGGCATACTAGGCACCAAACGCTAAGGCGCACGGCAGAAACAAAGCCAAGAACACGGCACATTAGAAAGGCATACGGGATACACATACCAAGAGCACGGCAGAATAGACTCGAAGTGCGAAAGAACACGGCAACACAGAGCCCAAGAGCTGAGGCGCACGGCAGAAAAAGACTAGACACACGGCATACTAGACTCCAAGAGCTAAGGAGCAAGGCAGAAACAAAGACTAGGAACTCGGCAAACTAGCGAAGAAGCACGGCAGACAAAAACCTGGAGCACGGCCGAATAGACCCCAAGAGCTAAGGAGCAAGGCATAATAGACCCCAAAGCGACAGAACGCTGCAGACAAAAGACCAGGAGCACGGTAGAATAGACCCCAATAGCTAAGGAGCACGGCAGAATAGGCACCAGGAGCACGGCAGAATAGGCCCGCAGAGCAAAGGAGCATGGCAGACATAGACCAGAAGCACGGCAGAATAGGCCCAAGAGCTGCCGAGCACTGCAGAACAAAACACCAAGCGCACGGCAGAATAGACCCGAAGAGCGAAGGAGCACGGCAGAAGAGGCCCCAAGAGCGAAGGAGCGCGGCAGAACAAGACCAGGAGCACGGCAGAATAGACCCCACAAGCTAAGGAGGACGATAGAAAAAAAACACGAGCACGACAGAATAGGCCCGACGAGCCAAGGAGTACGGCAGAACAAAACCAGGAGCACGGCAGAATAGACCCGAAGAGCGAAGGAGCAGGGCAGAATAGACCCCTAAGAGCGAAGGAACACGGCAGAAAAAAAACAGGATCACAGCATAATAGACCTCAAGAGCTAAGGAGGACGGCAAAACAAAAAGACCAGAAGCACGGCAGAGTAGGCCCGAAGAGCGAAGGAGCACGGCAGGAACAGGCCCCAAGAGCGAATGACCACTGCAGAAAAGACCCCCAGAGCTAAGGACCACGGCAGAAGAGGCCCGCAGAGCACAGGAGCATGGCAGAAATTGACCACGACCAGGGCAGAATAGGCCCCAAGAGCTGCCGAGCACTGCAGAAAAAGACCAGGCGCACGGCAGAATAGTCTCGAAGAGCGAAGGGGTACGGCAGAGCAAACACCAGGAGCACGGCAGAATAGGTTCCAAGAGCTGAGGGGGACGGCAGAACAAGACAAGGAGCACGGCAGAATAGACACCAAGAGCTGAGGAGCACGGCAGAAGAAAAACAGGAGCACGGCAGAATAAACCCCAAAGCGAAGGAGCACGGCAGAATAGGCCCCAAGAGCGACAGAGCACGGCAGAAAACGACCAAGAGCACTGCAGAATGGGCCCCAAGAGCGAAGGAGCACGGCAGAAAAAGACCAGTAACCCGGCAGAATAGGCCTCAAGAGCGAAGGAGCACGGCAGAAAAAAAACAGGAGCACGGCAGAGTAGACCTCAAGAGCTACGGAGCACGGCAGAAGAGGCCCCAAGTGCAAAGGAACAGGGCAGAAAACGACCAGGAGCACGGCAGAATAGACCCCAAGAGCTAAGGAGCACGGCAGAATAGGCCCCAAGAGCGAAGGAGCACGGCAGGAAGAGATCAGGAGCACCGGCAGAATAGACCCCAAGAACTAAGCAGCACGGCAGAAAACGGCAGAAGAGGCCTCAAGAGCGAACAACCACGGCAGAAAAAAACCAGGAGCACGGAAGAATAGACCCCAAGAGCTGAGGAGCACGGCAGAAGAAAAACAGGAGCACGGCAGAATAGACCCCAAAGCGAAGGAGCACGGCAGAATAGGCCCCACGAGCGACAGAGCACGGCAGAAAACGACCAAGAGCACTGCAGAATGGGCCCCAAGAGCGAAGGAGCACGGCAGAAAAAGACCAGCAGCCCGGCAGAATAGGCCTCAAGAGCGAAGGAGCACGGCAGAAAAAGACCAGGAGCACGGTAGAGTAGACCTCAAGAGCTACGGAGCACGGCAGAAGAGGCCCCAAGTGCACAGGAACAGGGCAGAAAAAGACCAGGAGCACGGCAGAATAGACCCCAAGAGCTAAGGAGCACGGAAGAATAGGCCCCAAGAGCGAGGGAGCACGGCAGGAAGAGATCAGGATCACGGGAAGAATAGACCGCAAGAACTAAGCAGCACGGCAGAAAACGGCAGAAGAGGCCCCAAGAGCGAAGGATCACGGCAGAAAAGACCAGGAGCACGGAAGAATAGACACAAAGAGCTGAGGAGCACGGCAGAAGAAAAACAGGAGCACGGCAGAATAGACCTCAAAGCGAAGGAGCACGGCAGAATAGGCCCCAAGAGCGACGGAGCACGGCAGAAAACGACCAAGAGCACTACAGAATGGGCCCCAAGAGCGACGGAGCACGGCAGAAAAAGACCAGTAGCCCGGCAGAATAGGCCTCAAGAGCGAAGGAGCACGGCAGACAAAGACCAGGATCACGGCAGAGTAGACCTCAAGAGCTACGGAGCACGGCAGAAGAGGCCCCAAGTGCACAGGAACAGGGCAGAAAACGACCAGGAGCACGGCAGAATAGACCCCAAGAGCTAAGGAGCACGGAAGAATAGGCCCCAAGAGCGAAGAAGCACGGCAAGAAGAGATCAGGAACACCGGCATAATAGACCCCAATAACTAAGCAGCACGGCAGAAAACGGCAGAAGAGGCCCCAAGAGCGAAGGAGCACGGCAGAAAAGACCAGGAGCACGGCAGAATAGACCCCAAGAGCTGAGGAGCAAGGCAGAAGAAAAACAGGAGCACGGCAGAATAGACCCCAAAGCGAAGGAGCACGGCAGAATAGGCCCCAAGAGCGACGGAGCACGGCAGAAAACGACCAAGAGCCCTGCAGAATGGGCCCCAAGAGCGAAGGAGCACGGCAGAAAAAGACCAGTAGCCCGGCAGAATAGGCCTCAAGTGCGAAGGAGCACGGCAGAAAAAGACCAGGAGCACGGTAGAGCAGACCTCAAGAGCTAAGGAGCACGGCAGAAGAGGCCCCAAGTGCAAAGGAACAGGGCAGAAAAAGACCAGGAACAAGGCAGAATAGACCCCAAGAGCTAAGGAGCACGGAATAATAGGCCCCAAGAGCGAAGGAGCACGGCAGGAAGAGATCAGGAACACCGGAAGAATAGACCGCAAGAACTAAGCAGCACGGCAGAAAACGGCAGAAGAGGCCCCAAGAGCGAAGGATCACGGCAGAACAGACCAGGCGCACGGCAGAATAGTCTCGAAGAGCGAAGGGGTACGGCAGAGCAAACACCAGGAGCACGGCAGAATAGGTTCCAAGAGCTGAGGGGGACGGCAGAACAAGACAAGGAGCACGGCAGAATAGACACCAAGAGCTGAGGAGCACGGCAGAAGAAAAACAGGAGCACGGCAGAATAGACCTCAAAGCGAAGGAGCACGGCAGAATATGCCCCAAGAGCGACGGAGCACGGCAGAAAACGACCAAGAGCACTGCAGAATGGGCCCCAAGAGCGACGGAGCACGGCAGAAAAAGACCAGTAGCCCGGCAGAATAGGCCCCAAGAGCGAAGGAGCACGGCAGAAAAAAACCAGGAGCACGGCAGAGTAGACCTCAAGAGCTACGGAGCACGGCAGAAGAGGCCCCAAGTGCACAGGAACAGGGCAGAAAAAGACCAGGAGCACGGCAGAATAGACCCCAAGAGCTAAGGAGCACGGAAGAATAGGCCCCAAGAGCGAGGGAGCACGGCAGGAAGAGATCAGGATCACGGGAAGAATAGACCGCAAGAACTAAGCAGCACGGCAGAAAACGGCAGAAGAGGCCCCAAGAGCGAAGGAGCACGGCAGAAAAAACCAGGAGCACGGCAGAATAGACCCCAAGAGCTGAGGAGCACGGCAGAAGAAAAACAGGAGCACGGCAGAATAGACCCCAAAGCGAAGGAGCACGGCAGAATAGGCCCCAAGAGCGACGGAGCACGGCAGAAAACGACCAAGAGCACTGCAGAATGGGCCCCAAGAGCGACGGAGCACGGCAGAAAAAGACCAGTAGCCCGGCAGAATAGGCCCCAAGAGCGAAGGAGCAAGGCAGAAAAAGACCAGGAGCACCGGCAGAGTAGACCCCAAGAACTAAGGAGCACGGCAGAAACCGGTAGAAGAGGCCCCAAGAGCGAAAGAGCACGGCAGAAAAGACCAGGAGCACGGCAGAATAGACCCCAAGAGCTGAGGAGCACGGCAGATCAGGCCCCACGAGCGAAGGAGCACGGCAGAAACACTCCAAGAGCACGGCAAAATAGGCTCCAAGAACGAAGGAGCACGGCAGAAAAGGACCGTGCTGCCGTTTCGTCTGCAGTGCTCCTGCGTGGTCTGCCGTGCTCCTCGTGTTGTTCTGCCGTGTTCCTTTCGGCTTCAAGACGGTGTCGCGAAGATCTTCTTTTATACAAGAAAATGTCTGCAGCGAAATCGCCATTTTCGGGACACTTCAAGAGCGATGTCAAGAAGATGTCAAGAACATGCAATTTTTTGAGGATGTCCCCAGCGAACTGCTCATTCTCTGGCATACTCTTTTTTTCCGTCTGCCGTGCGCCGCCCGATTTTCTGAGGATGTCTGCAGCGAGAGCGCCAATGTTAAAATGAGAGGTAGAACAAACGCCTCTCCAACATATCATTTTTGTGAGGATGTCTTAGGCGATACACCAGTTTTTGAACATATGTCAAATTCGCGACTTCCCATGTTTAGGGGATGTCTCGGGCGAAACGCTTATTTTTGATACAATCGAAGTTGCGACCATATCAATGTTGTGAGGATGTCTCAGGCGAAATCACATTTTGGGGTCGTCTCGAGGGCGATCCTGGGGGTCATATTGGGGCTCGTTTGGGGCCCTTTGGGGCCGTCTTGACGCCCACCAAAATCATTATAGTGCGATGTTAGACACATTGATTGTTTGAGGATGTCCCTAGCGAAATCGTTATTTTTAGAAGGCTGGCTTAGACCATCAGGAAGCCTCTTCAGGAGCGATTCCAAGACGATATTAGAACAGCAGTTTTCAAAACGATGTTGTTGCATTTGTTCATTGTTTGAGGATGTCCCCAGCGAAGTCGTCATTTTCGGCAGTTCCCAGGGCGCTGTTGGAGCCATCTTGGACTCCTTTTGGGGCTCTCATGTCTTCATCTTGACGCACTTCGAGAACGATGTCGAGGCGATGTTGCGAACATGTCATTTTTTCAGGATGTCCCCAGCGAACTTATAATTTTCTGCCGTGCTCCTTTTTTTCGGTCTGCCGCGCCCCTCCCGATGTTCTGAGGATATCCCGAGCGCAAGCGCCATGTTTTATGTGAGAGGCAGTGAGCCAGCTTCTCCAACATTTCATTTTTTCGAGGATGCCTCGGGCGACGCGCTCATTGTTCATGCACAACAAAATCCTTGACGTTTCTCAACATCCTGATTCTCTGAGGATGTCTCGACCGAAGGCATCAGTGTTAACAGAAACCATCTTAAACGATAGCCTCCAACATCTCCATTTTCGGAGGATGTCTCGAGCGAAATCGCTGTTTTGGGGAACCTGATCGGGCAAGAACGGGAAGCGCCGCTTCAGTCTAATGGGCGTATTTGGCGAAGAAGAAAAGGAAGGCGAGGGCAACGAGGAGTCGATGACGAGGGCGAAGTGGCGAACGTGAGGATAGCGAGGAGGATCATGAGGACAACGAGGAGGAAGAGAAGCACAAGGACGAGGACGAAGAGAACGAGGGCGAGTACGAGGAGGAATGCGGAGGGCGATGACGACGACGACGACAACGACGACGACGACAGAGGACAGTAAGAGGCAATTGGAGAAAGACGTTGCTCCTGGCGCTGGACGGGGTTGTCTTGGGGCCTGTTGGGGGCTTCTTGGGGGCCCCTTGGGTCCTCTTATGGGCTTCTGGGGTCTTCTTGAGCTGTCTGGGCGCGTCGTGGGGTTCTGTGGGAGCTTTCTTAGGCCGTCTCGGCGCCATCTTGGGCCGTCTTGCGGCTTTCTTGGGCCGTTTGGGGGCCTCCTGGGGCGCTCCCGGGAGTCTCTTGGAGCCCTCTTGGCCCTTCTCGGGCTGTCTTGGGGTTCTTGTGAGCTGTCTGGGTGGCTCCTAAAGCGCTCTTGGGTGTCTCTTGGGGTCTTCTTGGGGCGCTCTCGGGCGTCTTTTGGGCCTCCCTTGGGCCGTTGGAAAGCCCTCCAAGAGCGATTCGAACACGACTTCGATTCGGAGTCTCCTCTTGGGCCGATGTTTGGAGGATGTCTCGAGCGAAACGGCAATTTCTCAAAAATCTGCCAGCGTGGTTTCAAAGTGCGCCCCGTACCCCATCATTAATTTCTACCACCAACAAAAGGTCCACGCCAAGGGCGCTTCCCGTCAGCAGCCAGCGTGGTTTCAAAGTGCGCCCCGTACCCCATCATTAATTTCTACCACCAATAAACGGTCCACGCCAAAGGCACTTCCCGTCATCCGCACCCGTGCCCTGAGGCACGAGTTGGAGTGTCCGGAAGTCTTTTCGAGTGGAGCCGAGGGCCAACATGTCCAAATCTTCCAGGCGCTCTTCGGGGTCGGTCGCGTACATCTTCCAGTGTCTTGAACGCCGCAAGACGGGCCCAGAGGGCCCCAAGAGGCACCCAAGACGGCCCAAGATGGCCCCGAGTCGCCCAAAGATCGCTCCAAGACGCTACACATTGCCCACAGACGGCCCAAGAGGCCCCCACCACGCTCCAAGAGGTTCCTGAGAGGGCCCCTCCGATGTCAACATCATAGGCTTCCTTTTGTTTGTGAGCTATGTTAGTGTTTTCGTTGTTTCCGGCTTAAGGCGGCCCAAGAGGCCGCCAAGATCGCCGCAAGACGGCCGAAGAGGCCCCCCAAAGCGTCCCTGGACAGCCCAAGGTGGCCCTCGAGACCGCCAGAGAGAGAGAGAGAGAGAGAGAGTGAGAGAGCACAAGAGAGAAAGAGAGAGAGAGAGAGAGAGAGAGTGAGAGAGAGAGAAACAGATGGAGAGATAATCTATACATATATAGGTGCATATAGATATACATCTATATATATAGAGAGAGAGAGAGAGAGAGAGAGAGAGAGAGAAAGAGAGGGAGAGAGAGCGAGAGGCAGAGACAAGAAGAGAGAGAACACAAGAAAAGGGGAGATGGTGGAGGGAAGACGGGAGCCGGAATCACACGCCTTGCGCGACGCATCATGGTTCCGACATCCGATTGGCATGGGGTGTCAACAACATGCCGGCATTGGCTGCAACCTGGAAATCAGACGACGCTCGAGCTGCACCCTGCCGTGGTCTAAACCCAGGCAGATGAGCATGCGTTACGGCGAGCCTCCTGCCCAGCATGCCTTGAAAAACGGATGCGCAAGCATCGTGCAATCGTCCCCCGTCGTTTCCCACCCACCCAACCCGCAAGCTTGGGTGAGGGGCAATAAAACAACACTTCTGGTGGTTGCTGGCCTCGGTGAGGCTTTCTCGTTCGCATTGGGAACGTAAACTTCCAAATGGGATGATCCACGACATCCGCACTCAGACGAATTATGCTAGACACGCTCCAACTCTCCATGGCAGGCGGACTCCATGCCTCCGCGACTGTTGCAAGACATTCTACCACTCCATGGTAGTCTGAGCATGGCGCACTTGTCTTAAACATTTAGCGTGCGCTGAACAAGGATGGCCGGCTTACGGCACGAGCCTGCCCCTTTGCGAAAACCAAGCCAAAGCATAGCATGCAGAGGCACGTGCATTTGCTCGTACAGATGCGATCGCCCCCGCAGCTGCGGATACGAGTGAAGGGGGGGATCGGCGGCAGTGTGGGAGGCTAGCAAGCAAATTTGATGAAGCCGCCGCAGCCGCCGATGTTTTAACATATGATGTCTAAACGCAAAATGAAACAATTGATCAGGGGGGCTGTTAAACAATAATTTCTCCTGGCGCTTCATGGTACGTCAAGGAATAACGGAAGGCGGGGCACATCGGATTGCAGTGGCGACGTCCCCGCGCCCATCCTGGCGCTCCGTGTCACCATCCTGGCGCTCCTCGCTCTGGGACTAAGCTTCGATAGACTCGACCAGACCCCCGTCACCGAACCGCCAGTGGAGGCTCCGACCTGGGGGCCTCTGGCCCCGAACCTCTCTTAAATGTATGTGTATGTATATATGTATATATATGTATATAAATACACATATACACCAACATGTATATATATATATATGCATACATATATAGATACATATCAATGTATGTATGTATGTATGTATATATATATATATATCCTACCCGCCTCCTCGTCCCCTCTCTTTTCACGTCTCATCCCTTTCCCGAGTCTTGCGTGCAATGGGGGGGCTGCCAGCGCGAGACCCCCAGACCCCGAGGGCCCCGCAGCGCGAACGCGAGTCCGAACCCCCCAGAGTGGACCCTAGGAGCGGCAGCGCGAACACGAGACCGAACCCCTGAGGAGAGGGCGGCAGCGTGAACGCGAGTCCGAACCCTTAGGAGGGAGCGGCAGCGCGACCACGAGTCCGAACCCTCCCCAAGGGCCCCCCCCCCACCCTTCCATGCACCCCACTCTGGTTTACCGTCTTTAACCCTGGGAAGGGAGTGTCGGGAAAATGCTGACAGCGAAGCTGTGAATCACGGCAGTGTAACCTTCTGTGCTCTCTCTCTCTCTCTCTCTCTCTCTTTTCATCGCACATCATGATCAAGAGCCGCCGCCAGGCGGCGAAGGCGGTCCAGCTCCAGCGGGCCGAACGAGTTCTGCAGCAAGCTCTGCAGCCCGTCCGAAATCTAGAGCCGCGCCGATGCGGTATCCTGCCACCTGCCCATGATGAGCGTGTGGCCCATGTTATTGTAGCGACGGTAGTGCATCGTCGCACCGCCGCGGCGCAGGGAGTACGGCACGTACTGGTGGCGCTCGAGCCCCAGGTTGGGAAGCAGCTCCCTGAGGACGCGCCTGACGTCCTCCACGGAGGACTTGAGGATGAGCTCGTCGGGCGGCAACCTGTCGAGGAAATGCCGCGCGAACCTCGCCAGTTGCGGGTCGTGAAGAGCCACCGGCTCCTCGCAGTGATGCCGGACTCCTGACTTTGTGACTGGCAGCGCCATGATCATACTGAGCCCATCGTTCGTAAACTGGAACTGCCACTGGCGCAGGCTCAGCAACTCCATCGTGCGAACGCCACGTAGCCCACAACCAGCAGCAGTGCCACGTCGTTGCGAGACCACGAGCGCGCCACGCTCGCCAATGCCATCAGCACGTACTTTGGCATCGTCGTGGCCCGCTGAGGCGTTTCCGTCCTCTGCCAAGCCTTGAGCCAATTCCAAGAACTATGTAGAAAACGCTTGCGTCGCAAGAAGAACTGCGCGCCTGAGATGGTCGAACCCGCATCTCCAGCCGGCCGACCAGCGGCCCACAGCGCCTCAATCCATTCACAAAGTTGAATGTCAAACTGCTCCACATCAGACTCCACTGCTACACCGTGAGCTTTCACCCACGAGGTGAAAGCCAACACCATCCTGTAATATCGTCGCAAGGTACAATGCTGAACCAAAGTGTGCGATACCTTCCCGCTTGCCACTTGCCCTGCGCGCGCCAACACGGGCCACCAGATGATGTTCGTAGTCTATGCGCCCTCGACGCGGCATGATCGGCCAAGGTGGTACCGTCTCCTCTGGAAGGGTTGTCGGCGGGATTCTTGTCTGTCTCGGTGTACCCGTAGATTGGTCGCGCTGAGGCCGCCAGAACCAATGCCCACCTGTGAGTCCATGAGATGAGCAAACCTCGTGTACAGATGATGGCATACACAGAATCTCCAACGTAGAGCAGCCAGCGTACTGAGGACCTCCAGCGCTGTGTTGTGGCTCTTCCATTTCCAGCGCCAGACCAGGACCGTCTTCCATGTCCAGCGCGCCGCGCTGATGGGCCTCCGAGGCCACAGATCAGGGCGCATCACCTCCAGCGAATCCAATCGAACATCCGAGCCTCGAACTTCAGCGCGCCTGACCATCTTCTCGACCATCTGCGCGCTCATGTCCTGCTGGACTTCGCGGCCGCACAGATCCTTGTGGCGAACCAGCACGCCCTCGTCACCGCCGGCCGCCATCCTCACCGCGCCCACGGACGCGTCGAAGCCGCCGCCCTGCTGCCGCAGCTGCTCCACGCTCGGGACGCCGTCGAGACACACCTGGCAGTGCGCTCAGTGCCTTAACATCCAGGCCATCACGGCGCACTGGAAGGAGTTGCCCAGCAAGGCGCAACGGACCACCTCCAGCTCGTGGGTCTTGCGGAACCGGGTCGCCATGGCCGTCGCCGTGTGACCAGGGGGGAAGTCGACCAGCATCTCCCGCTCAAAGAAATCCGCAGGCTCCATATCACAGCCATCCCAGCGCAAGCGGTGAACATCTCGGAGCCGGTACGGGGCATGGCAGTACTCGTGGGTGCGCCAGCGCGCCAACTCCTCCTCCGAACACTGGTGCAAACCCTTGGGCTTAGAGCCCGCGCGCACCCTCGGGGTGCAACGGGCGAAGGTCGGCAGCCTCTGCTCCCCGCGCTCTGCGCCGCACCAGTGACGGCCCGAGCGAAGCCGCCGCTTGAGATCGCCCGCGCCACCTGGGATCACCACCCTCCTGACCTCCTCCGACTCGTTCACAGCGCCCTGCCACTGAGTCATCAGGTCCCAGTTGCACCAGTGCAGCCTCTCCCGCCGAGCATGCGAGATATCGGCCGCCCCGATCACCGCGGGCTGCAGTCCCAGTGCCTGCGACATGGCCTGTCTATCCAGGGCCTCCATGGAAGATGCATCTCGATCAAGTTGAACAGCTGCACCTCGACGGGGAGCACGCGACGTATCAAGGCCTGCAGCCGCAAGATCTCGAAGAAGAGGCCAGACCGCTGGCCGCGCAGCCCGCACCTGCCCACGCTGAGACGAGTCAGGTCCACGCAGGGGGCGCCTGCGCTGAGGATGACCCAGCGCGCATGGGGTGCGCGATCTCGGATCCTCCTCGCGTCCTTCTCCCCCAACTGCTGCGCGTCGCCGAGTTCCATCGCATCAGGCCAAGCATGCCGCACCACCCGGCACGCCTCCACGTCGGTCTCGGACGGGGCGTACACTGCAACGCTTAAGCCCAGCATGTCGAGAGCTCGCCTGATGCCACCTATGCCGCCGAACCAAGAAAACAGCACGCCCTCATCCTGCAGTCGGCCTCTGCGCCAAGCCCGAGCCGCTCGCGCGGCCGCAACCCCGTTGGGGGGGAATCGCACGGCTCGGCACACGGCACCCTTCTGCTCACTGGCATCCGACGCCGCCACCATGCCGCTGACAGGAGACCGCAGGTCGCCCCTCATGAGTGGCAAAAGCCCCAGCGCGATCAGGATCTCCCTGAAGACGGGGCTAGGCAGGCGGCGCTCGCCCTCCCAGCGCACCACGGCTCGCCACATATGGTCGAAGGCCGACGTCGTCTCCCTGCGGAACATCACAGCTCGCACCCAGCGGCCTGCAAGCACCTGCAACCACCTCTGCGTCACCTCCTCGCGGTCCAGCGCAAAGGGGCCCAGGCTCACCAGCTTGTAGGTGAAGTCCTTGGGGGGGGGGGGGGGGGGGGCTGATCATGGCCAGCTCGCCGTCCACGAGCTCGCCCAAGGCCTGGCTCTTCAGCGAGCGGCTCACAGACTTATCCTCGCTGCGAGAGACGCCGCGGGCATCGTATCGCGCCCAAGCCAAAAGCACAGCCTCAGGGAGCTCTGCACTCTGAAGGGCTGCCAGCGCCACCTCATCCGCGATCTCCAGGAGGTCGAGGTTGTCGATGTACACCTGCCAGGCGACCCAGGTAGGAGGACACGCAGGGGTAGAACAAGGCACACCCCCAGCTGTCCTCGCCTCTTCCCTCCAGACCTTGATCAGCACATCACCATGGCATGCCTGATCTGGCCTGCAGTGACAGATGAGACGGCGGCCCGACAGCTCACCCATATCCTTGAGCAGGTGCGGAGCTTCCCTTAAGTGGGTCTCGAACTGTAGGACGGCCGATGTCCTGGACAAACCTCGTGAGACCCTGAAGGGCTTCACCCACTTGGAGGGGGGGTGCCCGTGCCTCTGCCCTGTCCGCCCACTGTGCACGGGTGCGTACTCGTCGTCGTAGCTGCGGCCAACCTGCCCTCGCACGGGTTCTCCCTCTGAGGCCCACGGCTTTGCCGGCGAGGCCTGGTCCGAAGCGGGGGGGCCCGCGTCCAGCTCACGATGGGGAGGGAGAGGGAGGTCGCGTCGCAACTCCTGCTCCGCCGGCAGAGGCTCGACACCTGGGACCCACTCGCGCACCGGCCTCCCGTGGATGTGCTGGATGATCCCTGTCGCCGAGATCCAGCCCGTGGGGGTCACCGCCGCCGCCGCGAACACGCTGCCACTCCAAGCCAGGCCCAACGCAGCGCGCCTGACGGGCTTGGACAAGGCCATGTATCTGTGCCAGACCACGGGCAGGCGGTACACGTAGAAGCAGCACTTCAGGTCCTCCGACGAGGTCAGGAGCACCTCGCCATTCCTCACAATGAGGCTCTTCCACTTGTCCGTCGCCGGCATGTGGCCCATGTCGCCCTCGATGGTCTCCTGCAGCCAGTTGCTAGGGATGATGTTCATCGCGAGGCGCTGCGGACCCTGGCCCTTGCCGTGCCCTGACTTGCGGGCCCCAAAAAGGCCGCCCAGCACGCACCGCCCTCTCACCTGCGCAATGCACTCCTCCTCGATAGGCACCAGGATCCCGCGGTCCACCAGCTCGGCGGCGATGAGCTCCCACTCGGCGTCCTCCGCCCAGACGCGAGGGGTCTTCGGCATCTCACCCAGGTCGTCAGGGTCCTTGAGGATCCACTCGGGGTTCTCCAGCACACCTCGGATCCAACCAACGCTCGCCTCCGTGGCCAGCACCGACCCGCGCGCGTGTTTCGGCGGCAAGGCTAGCATCAGGCGCTCTCTGTCGAGCGTCTCCGCGGCGTGCACCTCCTCGCCTGTGCAGCTGACCGCCGAGGACTTGAGCTCAGACTCCCACTCCAGCATCGGCACCTTGTCGCTGTACTGCTCCAGGAAAGCGCGCGCGCTCCGCGCCAGGTGCCGCAGGGCCTCCACCTGCGCCAGGCTGGCGGGGCCGAAGAAGCGGCGGGCGCTGTCCCCCCTCAACAGAGGATGCTTGCCTCCCAAGCGGTGCTGGAAGTTCAGCGCCTGCGCCGCAAAGTAGAGCCACCCGTCCATGTCGTCCTCTATCGCCACGATCACCATGTTCACGATGCGGTTTCGGTCGAACTCCAGCTTCGAGTCACAGACCTGAGCGAGGGCGCAAGGCAGCGGCATCAAGTCACGACGACCGCTCCTTGCGGACAGTGGTAGGGATGAGCCGACCGCTCGTCGGGGGAATATCCGTGATCTGAGGCCAACGGCCTCGCCTCCAGTGAATCATGTAGTAGCCCGCCGTCGCGCTGATAACCGTAGTCAGAGGCCAGAGGCCCCGCCTGAGAAGAGTCATGATGTGGTGTGTCAGTCCCAAAGATGCATCATGCAGCGCCCAGCTTCACGAAGTTGTAACCCACAGAGCCGTCGGGACGCATCTGCACCTTGCAGTTCGCCAAGGCGTGGAAAGGTACGAATTGCGGGCAGCCCGTCGTCTGAGAAGGCAATGTCACGAGCCTCTTTGCACTCCACTTCGTCAAAAGCTGACGGGCTGGTGATCTCGGTCTCCCAGCTGCCTGCAGAGGTGTCAGTGCGGTTGCCCTGCTCCACTTCCTCAGTCATGCGTGTCGCTGATTGTTCTTGCGGCCGCCCTTGTGCTTGCCCTTGCCCGGGCCCTGGCCGCGGCCCTTGGCTCGAGCGGGCTGGCCGCCCCTGTCGCGGGGCCACGGGCGCTGCGATCCTGGCGGGCCCCGCCTGGCCGGGCTGCGCTCCCCCGCGGGCTCGGCGAACACCGCGCGGCGCGGCGGGCTCGCGGCGCCGCGGCCCTCGTCGGAGGTGGCGGGGGGGGGGGGGGGGGGCGTCCGAGCGCGCTGCGACGAGGGGGGCGCTCTCCCTGGGCTCGGGGCGCGCCCCTTCCGCGGCCCGAATCGAAGCCCGCGGCTCCCCCGCCCCTGCGGGCGCCGCGGGCGGCGCGCCAGCCCCTCGACCTGCTGCGCTGCGGCCGCGGCCCCTGCCCTTGCGCCGGCGAGCTTTCCGCTGCGACGCCGTCGACCTCGGCGACTCCTTCACTTCCTGAGCTCCAGGCCTCTTCGGTGGGGGTGGCGTCGTGGGGGGGGGGGGGGGGCGTCCTGGCGCCCCCGCCCTCTCCCCTGCCAAATCCCTAGAGGGACTTGCCCTTGCCACTTGCCTTGCCGAGGCGCTCCCTCAACTTGGCCCCCTCCGAATACGTCGCCACGGCCGACGCTGGTTTCGCCTGCGAGGCCCGCCCGACGTCCGTGGAGTCCACCAGCTCGAGGTGCTGCGCCACCTGCCAGTGCCCGTCCTTGGTCGCCTGCTCGATGGCTTCCAGCCTCTGCATCAGCGCGTCGCCCAGGCGCGGCAGCTCGCCGCGAGTGAGGGCGTCCAGGCACTCGCCTATCATCCTCATCTCTCGCGCGTTGCGAACTCCCATCTCGCTCTGAGGATGGGCCCCGTGCCGCGCGCTCGTGATGTATTGCGCCGCGCTCGCGCTCAGGCTGTCCAGCTCGTCGTCGTCTGCGGCCCCGCCCCGCTGTGCCAAGTGCTCGGGATCTGCTTCAGGCCCGCCGCCATCAGAGCTCCTGGATCGGAGCGGGCGAGGCGTTGTACTCGGCGGCTGGAACCAGCGGGTGGGGCCTCGTCAAAAATCGGCTCGTCGGAGGCGTCGCGGCCCCGATTCTTGTCTCCGCGGCGGCGCCTCCGCTGGCCCTCCAGCGCAGCATCAACTCTCGGCGAGGGACTCCCCCATCGAGCGCTTGCGCCTGAGCCTCTCGCGCAAGTCCTGGATCGTCCTCCTGAGTTGTTCCTCGCTGTGTGCGCCGTTGCCTCCGCCGTCAGCACCCTCAACCGCCGCTGGGCCGCCGCCGCCGCCTCCCCCGGGGCCCGCGCCTGCCGCAGCGCCGCCCTCACCTGCAGGTGGTCCTCTGGCGCCGCCTCCAGCGGCGGCGCCGTCGGCCAGGGCGGCCGCAAAAGGGGGCACCCAACCCCGCTCCGGTGGCAGTCTTCACTCTTGCCGTGTCCGCAGGCACCACGTTGCGGTTGGGCCACTTGGTGGCGAGGTGGCAGGTCCCCACTGCCTGGGCGCACAAGTGCAAAACCGAGGACCCCATGGCAATGAGTCCCTGAGCACAGGCATGTAATGTGGCTGGCGGCAGGACTCCACCGTCGCCTCCACGAACTGACCTGCTCCGTCTGCGGGCCAGGCTCCTGACGCGCGGAACTCGGCGGTGCCGTTGGGTTGGCCCCGCGCATCGTACATGACGACCTCCAGCAGGGCCCCCGGGTGGAGCTGCAGCTGCTGCAGCGCGTAGGGAGCCAATGGGAGGCCTCGTAGATCCAGGGGCCAAGACCTCCTCCGCACCTTGCGGGTGCCGTCGCTGCGGGCATGCCGAAGGCTCCGCCGTACGGAGGCAGGGCCGGGGGCACCCCGAGCAGGCCTCCAGCCGCCGCCCCGCAGGGGAAGCCTCCGGCCAAACCAAGCTGCCTAGCTCCGCCCGCACCGCTCCACGGCGGTGTACCTCAACCGCCTGCGGGGCACCCCGCGATGGGAGCAGGCGGCAGCGGGCCCGCAAGAGGAGCTGCGCCACCTCCAACGGCACCAAAAGGGCCGCCGAGCGCGCCGACTCCAGGCAACCCTGGGGCCACGCCTGCCGCACTACCCGCGACGGCCGCGGCGCCAGCCACGGCCGCGGGAGCCCCTCGCGCCTTGCCGCGGCCAGCTCCGCGCCCCGCGGCCGCGCCAGCAGCTCCTCTCTTGGCGGCGCCGCGCCCTCCTGCAGGCTTGCCCATGCCGCCCATCGCAGGCTTGGCGGCCCGCGCGGCGCCGCCTTCTGCTGGGCCTGCAGCATCGCCTGCGCCACCAACTCCTGCGGCATGCGGCCCTGGCGAGTCGGGGCGGAAGCGGGGGCAGCATCCCGCCCACGCCAGGGGGCATGGCTGCGGAGCCGCCCGCGAGTTCAGGCCCTGCTCAGCGGGCCGCCATCCCGCATCACGAGAGGATGGACTGGGCCTGGGGAGGGGTTATACGGGTACCCCCCCAGAAACCCCTGGTTTGCCAAAGCGGCTGCAGGGGAGGCGGCAACGGGATGGACGCATCAAGGGGACGCGCCAGGGGAGATACATCGCATGATAAACTCAATGATATGCGTGCATATGCAAGTGCATTGGATGCGTGTCCTCCGCGCCCCACAGGCGATACCCTTGCTCCTGCCCTTCGCTCCACCAGTGTACCGTGCGTGCCTGCTGGAGGAGTCGCATCCTCGAAGGAGGGCGGGGGAGGGTGCAGGGGCATACGGACGAGGACCAGAGCGAGCCCACGATGCACCCACGGTGCTGCAGCACTGGCCTCCCGGCCCAACGTCCGCCCCTCAAAGCCCCTGCAGGCCTCCCCTCGCCAGTGCGACAGAAGGGCCCCCCGTCTGCACCGCGAGACATACGAGCGCCGCCCCTCTCCCACTGCGACGAGGCGAACGCCCATTCACGGCCTTCCTCTTCACTGCGAAGGACGAGCCCAGACCCCCTCGAGTCGTGACAGAAATCACGACGGGAGGTTTTTCGCTACTTTCGGCCTCTCCGGGGGCCCTCACCGGGCCTCGGGACCGTCACAACAAACGACCCAGAGTGACAAGCCGGTCCCGGGGAGGGGGCCCAGACCTCTGGGGGTCGACGTCGGGGGTCTGGGAATGCCGCCCCGCTTCCCTCAGGGCCGGTCGGCTTCAGACCACGGCGAGGACTCCGGAGCCTTCTCCAGCCTCGAGACCATCTCGATTTCGACCTGCGGCGGGGTGCTGCCCGTCTCTCGCGCCCCAGCCGCGCCCCGCGGCGGACTCCGCGCGGTCTCTCTGCCACCTTTCTCTTTGCCTCTCCCGCCCTCCCTTGGCATCGCTCGGTCGTCCGCTTCCAGTGAAGGGTTTGGTTTCGTGCACGTTTTTTTCCGAGTTGATCTAAGATTCTCCAAGATGGACCAAGCTTTCTGGCGCTAGCCTCGCCGAACAAATGCACACGTACAGTGGAGGCCAGTTCACAAGACACATTCCACAAGAAACCCAACCCTGAGACCCCAAGACGTCCAAGGATTTTTGGTGCTGGCGCGTCACGCAGTCCACAGCACAACCGTCGAAACTCAAGGAACCCATTGCTCCCTGGAGGCAAGCAGGGTGTTTCTTGGCATGGGTCTCCACTGTACGAGCGATACCAAGTCCAATCACCCCCCCTCCTTGTTCCTGCCAAGCTCACTGACAGCCACGCAATCTCGCTCATGCATCATTGCGCTGGCCTCCAAGAGTGCAACCAACATATTGCCGGTTTTGCCTCCGTGATGATCCCACCAGGTCGCACGATTGCCACAAGGTGGGTCTGAAAATGGCCCCGTAGCCTCCCAAGTAGGCCCGGAGAGGCCAAACACATTGGCACCAGAGAGTTTGCTTACATGTATGTTGGTATTCTCGCGGTTTGGACCCAGATATGGGGGGGGCCTTAGAAGAGGCTCTAATGAATCCTGACCGACCCCCACTAAGCGACACCTTCCCATTGCATGGGCGCACTGCTTGGCATGCTGCTTGGCATATGTGTTGGCATTCCTTTGCGTTGCTCTCATGGCGGGCCTTGGCGTTGTGTGGCATTTCTTGGCGTTGCGTGGCGTTCCTCTGCACCCATTGGCAGCGCGTGGCATTGCGTGGCGAGGCAGCAAGGGACCAAGACCAAGGAACCAAGGAACCAAGACAAAGGAACCAAGGAACCCCGCACGAAGGAATCAATACGAGAGAACCATGACCAAGGAGCCAAGGAACCGAGAAGGGGGCCCACGAACGAATCACAGGAGCACACCTGTGAATTCGCACTCCCCGGGCGGCCCCAAGACCTCGCAGGACGGCCCACGAGAGTCGGAGCAGCACCTGGCCTGGGGGCCACGCAGCAACCCTGCAGCGCTGCATTGGGGCCTGGCGGTGCAGGCCTGGCTCGCTGCATGTGTGGTCATGGCCGGGAACGCCTCGCTGCCCGCCCCACAAATCCTGGAAGGAGGAGGAGAAAGAGGAGGAGGAAGAGGAGAAGGAGGAGGAGGAGGAGGAGGAGGAGGAGAGCCCCTGGCCCAGAATCCAGTTCAGGCACAGCAGAGGGGAATGGCCGCAGGCCACTGGGGATGGCTTTTACACACAGGTGCCAGGCAACGCAAATGGCACTGTCTCGCTGGGACGAACAACCGAAGCCCGACCGAACCGACAGCGAAATCGAAACCGATCGAAACCAACAGGCCGCAAGCAGCCCAGAGAAGCAACAGCGAGGCGCCAACGACTCAACAACCGACCGAACCGAACCAACCGACTGAACGCAACCGACTGCGACGCAGCCAAATCGACCGAACCGTGGGCAGCCTTGCCAGGAGAAAAACACATCGGCATACGTATAAACTTTCGGCCCCGCTTCCTTGGCGCGCGGAGCGCGCCAGCGGCGGCGCCAGAGGCGTCGCCAGGGGGATGCAGGCGCCGACCCAAGAACATCGCGCGGACCGAACCGAATCGTGAGATTTATTCAGGAATCGTGTTCTTGCCTTCGTGCCAGCCACATTGTCGGCCTGGACGGCCACGATCCATGGTAACATGCAAGGTAAGGCGCACATGGACGCCATGCTCTCACCCCTGTCTCACCTGCATCTCTTCAGCGCTTCCTACGAATCCCTAGGGAAACCTAGGACTGCGCGTTCGACCTCCTGCTCATCGATCCGCCTCTTCACCTTTGCTGCTCTTAGGGTGCTTTGCTGGGGTACTTCTTCCTCGAGGCGCAGCCGAACCGACCGCACCGTCGACACCCTTGGCTCAAGGCTCAGGCGTGTGTACGGGTGCTCAAACACCTCTAAGTGGCCCCATCGTTGAGCGGGGTTGGCGAACACAAACGCCTTTCCTATCTCATGGTGTCGCAGTTAGAAGAAGAAAACACTTCATACACAGAAACTTTCAGAGCCAGGGGCGGAACAGCGCCGCCCCTGGCGCGCTCCGCGTGCCAGGGAGGCAACAGCGAAGCACCAACGACACAACAACGGACCGAGGCAAGCCGACCAACTGAACGCAACCGACTGCGACGCAGCCAAACCGACATCACATACGAGAAGAACAACAAATCTGTATATAATCTTTCGGGCCATCGTCCCTGGCGCGCGGAGCGCGCCAGGGGGCGGCGCCGCCAGAAGGGTCCAGCACAGATCTCAAAAATCCGCGCGGAACTCCGAAGGCTTATGTTTATGCCGTGTCTTTTCTTCTTCGAGCAGTGACTCCTCCCCGCCCCCGGCTCGGCTACACGTAAGATACCCTAGACAAGAGTGGCCTTTGGTGCGCGACTTTCTGGGGAGCGCGGGGGTGCCGCACCCAAGCGAGCAGGGCGCTACTATCGCATCGAGTTCGGGCGATCTCCCCATCCCTCCTCCATCATCGTCTTCATCATCACCACCACCATCATCACCATCACCACCACCATCATCATCATCATCAACAACATCAGCCTCATGATCACCACCACCAGCATCATCAGCATCCTCAGCAAACTCATAATCATGACCATGATCATGATGCTGATGACCAGCATCGCCCTCATCACCAACACCATCACCACCATCATCACAATCACCATTACCATCACCATCACAATCACCATCACCACCATCTCAATCGCCGTCGTCATCATCATCAACACCATCATCAACATCATCATCATCAACATCACCAGCAACATCTTCGACACCACCACCACCGTCATCATCATTACCATCATCACCATCACCACCATCATCATCCTCATCATCATCATCAGCACCATCAGCACCATCATCTTCGCTATCATTGGCATCGACATCATCATCACCAGTATTACCACCATTATCAGCATCATCATGACCAGCATGACCATGCTCATCGCCATCGCCATCGCCATCATCAACATCATACCATCATTACCACCACCGTCATCACACTCTCCATCACCATCATCGTTATCCTCATCATCGTTGCCACCATCATCACCACCATCATTCTCCCCATCGCCATCGCCAGCAGCATCAGCATCACCATAATCCTCCTCATCCTCATTCTGATCATCACCACATTGATCAGCATCATCACCATCAACATCATCATCGCCATCATCATCAACATCATTCTCAGCATCCTGATCAGCAACACGGTGATCACCACCAGTATCATCATCCTCCTCATCATGATATTCATCACCATCATCATCATCATCACCTCACACGCTTCGTGGCAGCATGATGAGCCCCACCTAAGGCCCCAGTGGCTGTGACCGCATGCGTCCCTGTCACCCATATCGGCACAATCTCCACACGCTTCGTGACCCCATAGGGAGCTCCACCTAAGGCCCCAGTCGCTGCGGTCGCATGCGTCCCCGCAATCGATTTCGGCACACCCTCAGACGCTTCGTGACCCCACAGGGAGCCCCACCTACGGCCCAAGTCGCTGCGGCCGCTTGCGTCTCCGCCACCCACGTCGGCGAACTCCTCGCACGCTTCGTGGCAACATGAGGCGCCCTACCTAAGGCCCCAATGGCTGTTGCCGCATGCTTCCCTGTCACCTATATCGGCACAACCCCCCCAAGCTCCGTGACCCCACAGGGAGCTCCACGTAAAGCCCCAGTCGCTGCGGCCGCACTCGTCCCCGCCACCAATTTCGGCACACCCTCAGACGTTTCGTGACCCATAGGGAGCCCCACCTAAGGCCCAAGCCGCTGCGGCCGCGTGCGTCTCCGCCACCCATGTCGGCGCACCCCTCACACGCTTCGTGGCAGCATGAGGAGCCCAAGGCCCCAGTCGCTGCGACCGCATGCGTCCCTGTCACCTATATCGGCACAAACTCCACACGCTTCGTGACCCCATAGGGAGCTCCACCTAAGGCCCAAGCCGCTGCGGCCGCGTGCGTCTCCGCCACCAATTTCGGCACACCCCTCACACGCTTCGTGGCAGCATGAGGAGCCCTACCTAAGGCCCCAGTCGCTGCGACCGCATGCGTCCCTGTCACCTACATCGGCACAACCTCCGCACGCTTCGTGGCCCCACAAGGAGCTCCACCTAAGGCCCCAGCCGATGCGGCCGCATTCTTCCCCGCCACCCATTTCAGCGCGCGCACACACAAGCACAAACACAAACACAAGCACCCGCACAAGCAAACACACAAATAAACACAAACACGCAAAACCACACAACCACACAAAAACAGACACAGAACACACAAACGCGCGCACAAACACACATGCATACAAACACACATACACATACAACCACAACCGTACACATTCCAGCACACACACATCCAAACAACAAATTCCAACACATACACACATTCAAACACAACCAACAACACAACCACACACATACACACCCCAACACAAACACAAACATGCACAACATAAACGCACGCACACAAACACACACACAACACACACATACAACAACATCACCAACACCAACGACAACCACACCAGCAACAGCAACACCATCAATAACACTAGCAAAAACAGCAACAACACCAACAGCACCAACATTACCACCACCAACAACAACACCAGTTCACAGAAACACACACACATCCCTCACACGCTTCGTGGCCCCATAAGGAGCTCCACCGCAGGCCCCAACGGTTGTGGCCGCATGGGTCCCCGCCACCTATTTCGGCACACCCCTCTCACGTTTCATGATCCCTGGGAGCTCCACCGAGGGCCCCAATGGCTGCGGCCGCATGCGTCTCCGCCATCCATGTCGGCACACCCATCATACGTTTCGTGGCCTCATAGGCAGCTCCACCGAAAGCCCCGGTGGTTGAGGCAGCATGCATTCCCATCACCCACTTAGGCACACCCCGCACGCGCGTCGTGGCCCAGAGGGAGCTCTACCTAAGGCCCCAGTGGCTGCGTCCACATGCGCCCCCGCTACCCATTTCGGCACACCCGTCACTCGTTTCGCGGCCGCAGGTGGAGCTCCACCGAAGGCGATACCCACAACGACGGCACTCACAACTGCATCTGGTTCGGCCCTTCGCCAAGCTAATTCTTCGCACGCCGGGCAACTTCGCCCTACCAGCCCCAGGGCCCGCACGGATCGATCCGCCGGGAGAACTGCTGCAAAGAGATGGGCGATCGTTTTCCACCAAGTTGCGCGATCATTCCGCGACGTCGGATCTCAGGGTGCACGATGCTGCCGCCTCGCTCTGGTGATCCCTTCCGGGCTTCGTTGATGCTCTCTCGAATGCCACCGTCGTGCCTCCGTGCCCCGAGGAGCGCGCAATATATGGAATCACCGAATATATGTTCTGGCGACGGCGGTCCTCGGCCACGGATAGGTTTAAAGGAGCCCTGGGACACACAAATAACTAGACGCAAATAACAGGATTCCCCATATTTTCCCATGTTTTCTGGGTTTGTCTTCCCCCCACTTCCAATATTTTCCCCTATGTTCTGGGGAATCGACGATTAATGGTGTCTGTGTTTGTTTCCCTCCTGAAGGTTCCCCGTCTTAGATATAAGGAGCGACCCGATAACCATAGCTCCTCCTGAGCCCAAGGTGACTCTTTAGTCATTTCAGCGTCTTGGCAGTACATGAGCGCGCCCAATTCCCTGCTGGTGAGGTGACGCTGTGCACATGGGCAAACTTGCGGCTGGGACTGCTGGACCGCGCCCGATGCACAACGTCCGCGTCAAGCGTTGGGTGTAGGTTGCCTTGCCGTCGCTCGGACGTCCATTTCCCGTGCATGTTCCGGTTTCGTGCGTGTTTTTTTGGCTCGATGGTCCAGGATGGTCCTCCATGGTTCTCGCCGAGAAAAAATGCACACGCCCGAGCGATGCCAGGTTGCGTGCGGCACAAGCATCCCGCAGACATGGCGCCACACCTCACGATCGCACCTTCCGGGCGACTGGGCCTCGACAACAGCCCAAGGCCTCAATGGGCCCTGGAAACGACAAGGCCTTTTTTTACCGGTTCCGTTTTGCCGTTTTTTTGCCGGTTCCGACGCCGTTTTTTTACCGGTTCCGTCGCCGTTTTTTGACCGGTTCCGGCTCCAGTTCCGATCCTGGAGCCGTTTTTTTGCCGTTTCCGGTCGCCTTTTTTTCCCCTTCCCATTTTCAAGGGACATTTTTTTAGAAACGGTGAAGAAACGGCCCTGCCGTTTCCGGGGCCCACAAAGCCCCAGGCCACATAGCCGTGCCAAGTCACCGCTGGCGCCGCTGGATGACTAATTAGAGCCGCCGCTGGCCCGACAAGAGAGCGGCTGCCCGCGGACGCACGAATGCCACCTGGGCCGTCGGGGGTGGCTCTTCCTGTCGGGTCGGGCACGAGTTGACGGGCGAAGAACGGTATAGCATAAACTTTTTCGCTGGGCGCCTGTCACTGGGCGGCTGGAAAGTTTATACCCTTACGGTGGCACCGTAGGGGTATGAACTTTCCAGCCGCCCAGGGACAGGCGCCCCCGACAGCGAAAAAGTTTATTTCATACCGTTTCTCGCCCGCTGAACGAAGACGGGTTGGCAAAAGGGTGGGGGTAACGAATCAGCTCCCGTGCCTGGCTGTCCCAGCGCCCATGTGCCGAGGACAACGCCAGGCGGCGGGCCGAAGCTTGCGGAGCGCGGCAGGTTTCGCAACCGCCCCTCTCCCCCCTCGTTCGTCTGACCCGAGTGATCACCGTCGCCTGGCCTCTGGATAATAGCTCGGGCCTCCGGCGGTCGTTCGAGACGATCCGGGCATATCTGTTGGAGCACCGCCGGGAACCGACGAGCGCGCCCCAAAACCTAAACCCCGAACCCACTTCGCCCGATCCGATCGTAGGACCCTGCCATCCGCCGACTCTCTGTTCCATCCGCGGCCCCAAGTCGGGCGTTGGCAGAACTGGGTCTAGTGGGACCCGGCTTAGCCATGTGGGCCGGGGGACGCCCCCCCGCCCCATTCCGCTGACCAGAACTGCCGCCACCCGAAAGAACACCAGCCACGGCAGACCTGGTGTAGTGACTCTGGCCAGTTGTGGGGCTCTGGGGCCCTACCACTGTAAAGGGGCCCCAGGACACACAAATAAATACACACAAATAAAGGATTCCCCATATTTTCCCATCTTTTCTGGGTTTTTTGTCTTCCCCCCAAGACCCCATATTTTCCCATATTTTCCTGGGAATCGACGATTACTTGTGTCTGTGTGTTTCTTTCCCTCCTGACACTGACTGGCTCCCCTCACCTGGGGCCCTGGCTATACCCGGCCAGATGCCGCGACCCCTTCCCTAGGGCTCCCAACTTCGCGCTTCGCGCTGCGCGAAGCGCGAAGCGCGAATAACTTCGCGCTCTCGCGCCGCCCTCCCAAAGGGAGAATAGGAGGACGAGGAGGAGGGGGAGAAGGAGCGAGGACCGCGAAGCGCGAAGCGCGAATAACTTCGCGCCCTCGGGGGAGCCCTTGCCTTCCCCAGGTCCGGCTTCGCGCCCCGGGGTCATCCATTCTCGATGGCCCCGGCCGGGGGCCCGAGGGCGAGCCCGGGAGGCCGAACTCCAGCAAGAACGGCCCCGGACTGAAAATCCAAGATCGGTGAAGGCTGGCGGCGCGCAGAGGGGGGTAGTTAGGGGGGTAGGGGGAGGGGGGGCGCGCAAGCATGGATTGGCGATTCGTGAATTTGGCGCGCGGTCGCCAAATTCATGGATCGGGGGAGGTGCCCTCCCCAAGATGCGGCCGGTGCCGCCTCGCTCGGCGGCGGAAGTCTGCGATTTCCAATGGAAACGGGGACTTTGATCCATGTTTGCGATCGCCCGATCGGGGGAGGGGGGAAAGCTTCTTAGAAGGAGGCTGCTTTTCAGCAGGCGCTGGCCTCAACATCTGCAGAGGAGGCCCGTGCCTTCTGAGACGCAGGGTGCTTCCAAGAAGCCTTCCCCCCTCCCCCTCCCCCTCCTCCTCCTCCTCCTCCTCCTCTTCTTCTCCTCCTCCTCCTCCTCCTCCTCCTCCTCCTCCTCCTCCTCCTCCTTCTCCTCCTCCTCCTGCCCCCCCCTGCGCGTGACTGGAGGAGGGCGGGGGGGAAGGGGACCCGTGCGGTACCCCTGGGCCTCGAGGGTCGCAGAGCAGACCCGGGGGCCGCAGCGTGCGGCCGGGGGCGGCCCACCGGACTGCCCTGGGCCGTTCGTCGCCCCCGGGGTGCTGTCTGCCGGCTCTGCCGGCTCTGCCGCCCTCCGCCCTCCGCCCTCCGCCCTCCGCCCTCCTCCCTCCGCCCTCCTCCCTCCTCCCTCCTCAGGCCTCGGAATAAATTATTAGCGAACGCCCATGCCGCATTCGTCTGTCAATGCCCCCCCCAATGATCAATGCTGGCGGGGGGTTGAGCGAGCTACACTTCGGCCCCAGCCTTCCCCCCGCGCGTGCCAACTTTGAGCTTGGGGGAGCGGGGGGGGAGTGTCTACGGACTGTCTGTTTCTACCAGAAAGCGAAACTGAAACCGTACAGACGAAATTCTTCCACGGGCCTGGCGAATGTGCATCTCTCGGCTGCATGCAAGCGTGACCCTAGGCAAGAGTGACCCTTAGTGCGCGGCCAAGGGAAGGGCTCTGTGGCAGCACCACTCGGCGCGCAAGCCGCTGCTATCACGTCGCTCGGGGGGCCCACTTGGGCCCGCACCAAGAGTCACTCCAGCGAAAGGTTACTTTCACGTGCAATCGCCTCTCCTTCCCCAAACTAACCTTGCTGTGGAATCCCCCACCTGGCCATGACCCCGTCCGAGCCGGGGCCGCCTCTGGCATGACTCCGAGGTCCTCTGTGATGACCACTTTCTGCGAGCCCGGGTTGTCCTGAACGTGGGGTAAACTATCAAAGCAAATAGCCAGCATACTGGTCAGCCCAACCAGGCCACGCACCCCACTTGCAAACCCGCCAAGCAGCCCAACCTGCCCAACCCGCGACCGAACCAACCCGCCTACCCCCGCCGCCTGCCCTCAGTCACCACCCAAAGGGGTAAATGTTTCTTACACGCGAAAATGGCTGTGGACCGCCCATCAAGCTGGCTGCCTGGGGGGGGGAGGGGGCAAAGTGTACCGTGCCGTTGGGGGTCAGTTACTCTGAAGTCACCCTCCCTCGTACAATTGTGGAGGTCAAGCTCTCCGACTTCAGTGCTGAGACCGGGAAGCATGCTCTCGGGGAGCATCTTGGGTAGTCTCTTAAAGGCTCTTCGGTGTGCACATGGACTCAGCCGCACGGGACGGGGTCATTATTTGAGCCGCATTCGCCGCTTGCTGAAGCTCGCGCTCCCCGCCGCTTGTCATCTTGACCATTTACCATCAAATAACGAGGAGGAGGAGGAGGAGAGGGGGAGGAGGAGGAGGAGGAGGAGGAGGAGGAGGAGGAGGAGGAGGAGGAGGAGGAGGAGGAGGAGGGAGGAGGGAGGAGGAGGAGGAGGAGGAGGAGGGGGGAGGGGGAGGAGGAGGAGGAGGAGGAGAAGGAGGGAGAGGAGGCGGAGGAGGAGGAAAGGGAGGAGGGGGAGGAGGGGGAGGCGGAGGAGAAAGAGGAGGCGGAGGAGGAGAAAGAGGAGGAGGAGGAGGAGAAGGAGGAGGAATTCCATCACGTATGGGTTAATCAATGTCGGCCTGCCCGCCCGATGGGGGGTCCGCTCCATTTGCTGCCAGGCGCGCTCCTGGAACATGCCGCTCGTGTTTAGACGGCGGCTGGGCAACATCAATCGTTTACTCCCTGTTCAATCATAACTTGGCCTGGTTCTTGCTCGGCACCTCGGGGCATCGATCGGGGAATAGGCGAGAGCTGCGACACATGATCAGGATCTCGCGAGGACCCTCGTCCGCTCTCTGAATCGTTGTCTGAATCATGAGCTTCCTGCCCTGGGAGTGAAGACATTGTGACGTACGCTGGGGCTTCCTCCCTCCAGTACTGACTTCGCGAGAGCAGCTAGAAAATCATCTGGCATCTCGCCTCCGCTGCCTGCTGCTTTGCTCATCATAGTGCAGCTGCCCGCTCCCTTTTCCAGCTGCAGTGCGAGCGATGCGCACTGTCGTTTACTTCTTGAGCCAAACGCTCACAATGGCGGGCGGATGGAAATTAGCTCAAAAGAAAGGCGGAGGAAGCGGAAGTAACGACTCTAACACCCTACGCCTAACACCACCATGCGCTGGAACACGACCCTCGCGTCTTCACCGTCAACGGGTGGGGGAGGGAGAAGGGGTTGGGGTTGGGGTTGGGGGGTGAAACATAACACATGCCACCTTGAAGTGGGGGTCACGTGGGGGGGGCCGTTAGCATCCTTCTTTTCTAATTGAAGCTCTACCACTGGCGCTCTTTCGATGTTTACCTCCGCCGGCTTCCGCCGGCCTTTCGCCGGCGGAGCCTTCCCCATTTTACTGCTGCCGCCTTCGGCCGAGGAAGATCTGGCAACGTCTCGACTCGCGAATGCGAGGCCCTCTCTGGAGCCCCCCCACCATTTGGGAGCTGCGCAGATGTCGTGTCCCGCAACGGGTCGCCGTACACGTCGATGTGTGTGTGTGTGTGTGTGTGTGCACTTGCAGGTCGATGAGCGGACGGGCGCTCACTGTTCTCGTCCCCCACTTCCTTTCTCCCAGGTCACCCACAAGGCTCCGTCCCGAATCCGTCCACGATCGATCCCAGGACCCCTCCCGAGGTCCACGCCGGCCAGTTCTCCGAGCTGCCCTCCAGCCGCCGTGGCCACGGCCCCCCCCCCCCCGGGAGCGCCCGCCCCGCGCAGGAGCAGAGGCGCGAACACCCTCGAGCTTCGATCCTCCAGGTCGGCCCTCCTCACGCATCGCGCCCCGCGATGCGAAGAGCGCCCGCCCCGCGCAGGAGCAGAGGCGCGAACACCCTCGATCTTCGATCCGCCAGGTCGGCCCTCCTCGCGCACCGCGCCCCGCGACGCGTGGCTCGCCCTTCGCGCTCCCTGGGCGGCGCCTCGGCCCTTGCCGCGGGGCGCCAACGCACGACCACCATCGCGCCCGCCATGGCGACCTGGCCACTCCTCTTCGTCTCGGCTACCGCGAGGGTCAGGCCGAGGAGGCGGAGAACGAGGGGGACTCGGAGAGCGGGGATGGGGGCGAGGAGGACGAGGACCATGAGGGGAACAACGAGGAGGCCGCGAGGAGACCGAGGAGGCCGGGGGACAAGGAGGTGGCCGAGGAGGCCGACGGGGAGGAGGAGGAGGAGGAGGAGGAGGAGGAGGAGGAGGAGGAGGAGGAGGAGGAGGAGAGGAGGAGGAGAGGAGGAGGAGGGGAGGAGGAGGAGGAGGAGGAGGAGGAGGAATCGATCTCCTCCCGCTCGCCATTGGCGATGAGGGACAGGATCGTGACCCAGGCGATCTCGGCCACGTCGTTCCAGAGCACCTGGTGCCGCGCGCCGAGGCAGGGCGCGGCCCCGCCAGAAAGGGGGGTGGCAATCATCAAGAGGATCTGGGAACGGATGACGTCGTCGTCGCCGTCCCCCCTCGGGGTCGTCGGCTCTCTAAAACAAATGATGAAAACTGTCAGCTTCCCAACTGATGGGGCGATGACTCCACCGAGCAAGCCGGGAGAAGGTGGTCGGGACAGTGTAAAATGGTGGCCAGGCCGAACTACCCGTGCGAAACTCTATATCTTCCTGCTGTCTGGGTCTCTTCGTCGCCTCAGGGCCGTCGGCTCTCAGAAGAAGAACACGTGCCCATACCGCTACCTTCCCTCCTGTTCCACTTTTTGGCTAACTGGAAGGCCCTCCAGTCACCGCTGGGTTCGCCTCGACATTCTAGTCAGAACGAACCCCAGGAGGGGTCCGTGGAGCAGCCGTGCTGGTACCTTCTGGTTTCCCCAAGCACCGGCCGTAAGGTCTACAGCGCGGAGATGAAGCAAAGTCGAGTAGCGCCGCGCGTCAGGCCCCGCGAGGCGCGACGGGCCGTTGCGGGATCCTCGCGCCCTCGCGGGGCCACCTTGGAGAAGGGCAGCTCTCCGTCTCAGGGAGCACCGCGCGCAGCGCGGGCTAGATGTGTGAAGTGCGGTGATCTTCGCGTCCTTTGTGGCGGCCAGGAGTAAGCAATGCCCCTGAGTGGAGAGCGAGGGGGAAGCGGAGGCAAGGGCTGCGACGGGGGGGAGACAAAGACTGGAGGGAGGCAGGCTGGAACGGGGAGGGGATGTGGGAGGACTGGACGGGAGGGGGGTGGATGGAGAAGGGAGGAACGAAGGGAGGCACGAGAGGGAGGGAGTAAGGCCATCGGGGAGACACGCCAGCTCAATGAAGGCATGGCGGGGAGAGATGCCGAGGCTGGGAGGGCGGGCTCCCCTGAGAGAGGATGACGATGCTGCTGCTGATGATGCTAATAATAATGATGATGCTGATGATGATGATGATGATGATGATGATGATGATGATGATGATGATGATGATGATGATGCTGATGCTGATGCTGATGCTGATGCTGATGATGCTGCTGCTGCTGCTGCTGCTGCTGATGATGATGATGATGATGATGATGATGATTGGAGAATGGGGGCAGTGAGTGTCACTTAATGTGAGTGGTTGCAGATCTCCCCTCCGCAGTTTTTTCTGGGTCAAACCAGGCACAATGATTTTCTAACGAAGTCAGCGGGTCTTGGCCCCCCCCGCGTAGCTCGAACATGGCTCTCTCGCCAGCGGTCTCGGAGGCCGAGGCTCCCGCTGGCACGCCGAGTGGCCCAAGCCAGCTGTGGGCGCTCGGCTGGGCTGCCGCGACCGCGCCGCTCGTCTGCCTCGGCTCGAGCGGCGCGCTGCGAGCCGACACGGGCAGGGAGGCGGTGCAGCGCCTGGGCTTCACGCTGGGCGCCGCGGTCGCGGGCACGTGCGCCACCCTCTGGCGAGCTGGGCTCTGGGGCTGGTGTTGCCGCAGGCGCGACGACCCGGAGGAGCTGGAGCAGCTGCGCTCCCAACTCGAACTCGCCGCCCTGCAGCTGGCCAAGCTGGAGCAGCACGGCGCGGCCACCGCCCCCCCCCCCCCCGCCGAAGGCGCCTCGGACGGCGGCGGCCCGACGCACGGCAGCTTGGGCCTGCCGCCGCCACCGCCCTTCGCGATCGGGCCCGCGCCTGGAAGGGGCCCCTCGCCTTGGGCGCCCGCGCAGGCTGCCGACGGCGGCTTCGCCGCCTTTCACGCCTTCGGTGCCGGCGGAGGGCTGCCGCCAGGGCCGACTTCGGCCAGCCAGGGCGGGGCCCCCCGCGGCGTGGGCGCCTGCCGCGCCGCCCGCGCCAGGCTTGGCGGCCGCCGCTGAAGAGTCCGCCAGCGGCGCGGCGCCCGCGGGCCCCGCGGCGCCCTCGGGGGCTAGCGCCTGCGCGGCCGCCGTCAGGGCCGAGCTGGAGGGCTACGCGGCGAAGCGGCAGCGGCCCCTGGTGGGCCAGCAAGTTCTGGCAGCGGGTCCACCAGCGCGACCTGGCAGGCTTGCTGGACCCCAGCGCGAAGGCGGCGCTGGTGGCGCGGGGCTTCTCAAGCGAGCGCTCCGCGGGCGCGCCGGACGTGGAGAGCGTCGAGGCGGTGCTGCGCGGGCTCGAGGCCGCCACCAGCCAATTCACGGGCGGCTTCGTGGGCGCGGGCTTGGCGGCTTCCGCTTCGGTCGAAGGCTGGGCCCACAGCCTGCCGCCCGACTTCAGGCGCGCGGGAGGCGAGATCTATCGGAACATCCGCGCGTCGGGCTCCACGTCGGTGAGAAGAGAAACTGGCTGACGCAGCAGCACGTGGGGTCCAAGCGGTGCGAGGAGTGGCACTCGCTCTGGGCTACGGCCACGGCGGTCGACTTCGCGCTGGGCGACTGCGGCAACGACATTCGCCTCGATACGAAGCTCCAGTCGGACGACCAGGTGGAGTTCGCCCTTCGCAACCTCTCGGCCTGCGTGTACGAGAGCCGCACGCGAAACAGCGTGGGCGCGGCTCGCCTCCGCGCCGTGTTGGCACCGGGCTCGGCGGTGGACATCGCTCCCAACTGGCTGATTTCAGAGGCGACGACCCACTCGAAGATGGAGCACCAGCGCGAGGAGCGCATCGGCGCGGAGTTGCGGCGCCGCCAGAAGGGAGACCCGTGGGGCCCGAAGGGCGGCAGGTCCACGGGGGGGCCCCCCCTAAGGGCAGAGGCGGCCACTGGCGCCAGCCGCTCGAGGAGGTGCCGCGGCAGCCGGGGGCACCTCCCAGGCGCGACAACTTACGGCTGCGTGGAGGACGAGGAGCTGGAGGCTTATGGCTACCTGTTGGAAGGGAGGAGGGCGCTACCAGGGTGATTTGGCAGACGCAGTCGACGCCAGCACCCTCGCGGCCTGCTGCGACGAAGAAGCCCTCCTTCCCTGGACTCGATGATCTACATCAGCTGCTGCGAGATGGGCGCTCAGTGCTCCCACTGCCGCTGCTACCCTGGCTTGCTACGAGGTCGCTTTCGACTTCAAGCCGCATCAGGCAGAGAGATTCCCGTCGTCGAGCAGTTCACCAAATAGCCGATGAGATCCTGGAGACGATCGACCGCGTTCACGCTGGAGGCTTGCAACAGCAGGCTGGCCGCGCCGTCGAGCGACGAGACTTACGAGGAACAGACGGAGTGGCAGGGCAAGCTCAACTTCGTGCCATTCGCATATGCTCGCTGGCCAGGAATGGTGACAGGCGTGCGAGCGGTCAGCGAGCTGCTCGAGCTCGGCGAGGTCACCTACGCGAGGGCGTCCCAGCGGCAGATTCATGCCACCTTCGTGGCGGACCGCATCGACGAGGTGACCACCCTGCGGACCGTGGAGATGCTAGACGCCCTGCCGGAGATGGAGGCTCTCTTCTACGCTGAGGAGAGCAACGTGGAGGACTGGGGCGGCAAGAGCGAGCAACTCTTGAGGGAGCTCGAGGAACACTACGGCGTCTTGGGGGGAGTGGGCCAAATACCTCTGCCGCCGGGACCTCCCACCACGTTTGTGGACCTACATGCGCCAGGCCGGCATAAAGGCCATCAACGGCGTGAGTGCAATCCCGAAGAAGGATCCCGAGAAGCTCCGCAAGCCGATCATGGCCGTGCCCGCGAACTACGTCTGGTGCGACGTTCGAGATCGCAAGGACCATGGTCTTGGAGGCGGAGGCGCGCTTGCTCAACTTCGAGTGCTCGGAGGTCCTCTGCACGTCGCCAGGTGCGACGAATCGAACGCCTTCTCGTCGTTGGTGACCCCATCGTGGTGGTGGCCGTGGATGGCGACGCCCGCACTGCCCGCTGCGCTACTACGCGACCCGCTCCCGCTTGAGCTGCAGCATATCCCGGACTGCGAGATGGTGTTTCCTTGCTACCAGCGGCTGCCAATGGGGAGCTCCACTCGGTGCACATCCTGATGGGAATCAACGTGCGGAGCCTGGGCGAAACCTTGAACTTCAACAGGAAGTTTGCAGAGAGCGCGCTGCAGCAGGACATGAGCTCCTGGGAGATGATGGATGAGGTGAAGATTCATGACCGGAAATGGGTCGACCTCCAGCGTGACCGGAGGAGCGCTGACCGTTATGGGAGGGCCTGGGAATAGACGAGTTCTGCGAGAAGGTGCGCTACTTCAAGAATTCGGCCCAGCGAGTCATGGTCGTGATGCACGTCTTCGCTGGAGGTCGCCGCCATGGCGACGTCCAGCATCACCTGGAGGCCTTCGGCCAGCAGCATGGCGTGCCACTCTTCTTCTTCGGGGTGGACCTCGCCTTCGACGCGCGCTGGGACTTCGCGGACCCGCGCATCGTCGCGGCGCTCCTCGAGCTGGGCAGCGCTGGGCTGCTGGACGTGGTGCTGGGCGGCCCGCCGTGCGCCATCTGGAGCCGCCTGTGGCGTCGGCCAAGCGGCCCCCCGGCCCTGCGGCGCCGCGACCACCTGCTGGGGCTGCCGTCGCTGAGGGCTCCTGAAAGGACTCGAGTCCTTGAGGCCGACGCTTTGCTTTTCAACTTCTCAGGCTCGCGCGAATCTGTGCTGTCGCAAAGGAGGGGCTCTTCTTCTGGAGCACCCTGCGGGCCCCGGCGAGTTCCGCTTTCCCTCGGTCTTCGTCCTCGAAGGGGTGAAAGGGTTTGGCCTCTCGAGCTCAGTGTGAAGTACTTACCTTAGACCAGTGCATGTATGGGGGGGGGGGGCGGGGGGCAAAAAACCTACGGGTCTTCTCTCCAACCTTTTGGGCTATCTGAGTGGCTCCTTCGCTGTGGCGGGCTTCATGCTCATGACATTGCTCGAGGCAAACACTCTCAGGGAGTATTCGCTTCACGTCGTCTTCAGAGTTCTCCTTCAGGTCTGTGTCGGTTTTTTGGATGGTGTATTACTCGTACCCTGGTTCAGATGAGACTGGAGTCGAGAGGACCGGGGGCTTGGAGACGTCCAACGACAGAACGGCCTCGCACAAGCAAGTGGAGTAGGGAAGCATATGGTCCACTAGGAGGACATTTCGTGATGCTCAACGAAAAGTACGGTCAGAGCACGAAGTATTCCCTTGGGCCCGACGACGTGGCGAGCTACGTTCACGTCGACGACGGCCTCGCGATGACGGTCGGGGCCGAGGATCGACCCAAGTGCGACGCGCTGATGCAGCAGGTCGCCGGCGGCTGGGAGGCAGAGGGCATCCTGGTCACCGAACGGCTCGAGGCCGAAGACGACCTCGAGGCGGTGGGCTACCGCATCCAGAGGTCGCCGCCAGCGCTGCGTTTCGACCCGCACAAGGGCTGGCTGCTGCGCGAGAGTTGCCTGTGGCTGCTGCAGGTGGACTGGGTCGACGTGGAGCTGCTGCGAGCCGTGGTCGGCGCCTGGCTGTGGGGAGCCCTCCTGCGTCGCGAGCCGGTGTCGGTCCCCCACGCGGTGTCCAGCTTGATCGAGAAGCACGCCAACCAGGCCATCGCGTGGTGGCCCTCCGCGAGGCGCGAGCTGCGAGCCATGGCCTACTTGGTCCCCGCGATGAAGTGCGCGCTGGACCTGCCTGCCTCCCCGCTGGTGTTCTCGACCGACGCCGAGGGGGTCAACGACGAGGACTTCGGCGGCTTCGGGATCGTGAGGCCCCCCGCCAGCTTCACCGAGAGGGAAGCGCTGGTGGCTGCTGGCACGCGGCCAGGGCACGCAGTCACGAGGCTCGACGGCAGGGTCGGCCACCTGAACAGGGCCGACAGAGAGATCGCGAACCGCATCGCAGTCTCCAGAGTGCCGATGTGTCTCCTTGAGAAACCGCCGCAGGACTGGGCGGAGCTGGGATCTGGGCGATGGCAGCGCCCTGACCATATCACGCTGGGCGAGGGCAGGGCGGCCCTCAGGCTTCTAGCCGCGCTCAGCCGCGCCCCATGGGCGCGTGGCTACTTGGTCGCCAACCTGGAGGACAACGAGGCCCTCTCCGCGGCCATGGCCAAAGGGCGCTCGTAAGCAGTGAACCTCATTTTACTTCTTCGACGGCGAGCGGCCCCAAGTATAGCTACCGGCATCATGTTCGTGCTGCCCTGGGTGGACATCAAACGCCCGGCAGCAGATTGGCTGTCGCGTCGCAAGTGAGGTGGCGTGGGCCCAGGCGCCTGGATCACCACCGAGCGCGAGTCAGCCGCAGACCATCGAGACGTGCAGGTGAGAGGCCGGGGGCTTCACTTCTTGGGCGATCGCCGACCACCTTGACCCCGTGAGCCCGGACCAGTGGGACGACGCGCTGGTGGAGTACAAGAATGCATGCGAGTCCTTGCGTGCGCCGTCTAAGTTCTGTAACCTCTCGGCGGTAGTGGAACTGTTCTTCCCTCGCGTGAAGGGCGAGCTGATCTACCTGGCGTCCGCGGGGCGCGTGAGGCTGGGCCTAGGCTTGGCGCTGCAGTGCCATGCGGGGCTCAGGCCGTCAGAGATGCTTGGCCTGCGCCCTGAACACCTTTCCTTACTTCATCATCGGGCTACCGATGGCAAGTCAGATCCTGTGGCCCTGGCATTGGGAGTGCGTTTCGGTGCGAAAGCGCAGCGGCCCCAGGTGGCCGTACTTCCAGGCCGTCACGCTAATCTCACTGAAGCCCTCTGGAACTGTGTCAAGCTAACCCCGCAAGAGCAACCTCTATTTCCTCACATTATCTCTCAATATCGCACGTAGCTCAAATCAGCCGAAGCGGCGCTGGGACTTGCAGTGGGCTGGGGCCCGCGTAGTCCGCGGGCCGGCTGGGCAACCGACTCCCGCCTCAGGATCTACCTAGGCGTGCAGTCGGCCCAACGCAGTGCTTACCGACCTGCCCACCGCGGGCCACGAGAAGCAGCGGCGCTGGGCGGCAGACGGCTGGAGGCAGTGCATGCGCCAGGGGCTGCTGGGGCCTCCGCGTCGCTGGCATGGCGCCAAGAGTGGGGGGCCCGTTCGTTGACGGTGTCTACGCGCCGCCTGCATTCGCGAAGAGCCTATCGCCGGCCTCGGCGAAGAGTGCGAGGACGGCATCGCCTGCCCCAGCCCCGCCGAGGTCGCCAGGAGCCAAGTCGGCTTCGCCAGCCTCAACGCTGCCAGCAGGCACCACGCCGCCGTCGTCCTGGACGCTGGTCGGCACGTCCTTCGCCAACCTGGCGGCGCCGTCGCCGCGGAGCGTGCAATCGAGCGGGGTGGGCCCAGTCGCCCCGACCGCGGAGCTTGAGGTGCCGCCGCCACTCGCGCCTCAGCCGCCCGCTGGGCCGCGGCGGCCGCGCCCCGCGCCGCTGCAAAAAAGGGGCTGGCCAGCCTGGGCCGCGCGGGCCGCGCTTGGTGGCTGTCGCCAGGCGCTGTGCTGCTGCTGGCGCTGTGGATCAGCTCTCCCAGCTTCTCGCCCACGCTGGCGAAGGGCGTCGGCGCGGCGATCAGCCAGTCCGAGGACCTCGCCGACGCCAGGGGGGTGCTGACGCGGGCGGCCTCCAACGTCGCGGTGCTGGTGACGGACGTCGTCGTTGCTGTGGGCCGCGGCTCGCTGTCGGCCTTGGAGGAGTCCTGGGAAAGCGTCGCCCTCCTCAATGCCACGACCAACGCGACGGGCGGGCGCTACATCCTGCTCCTTGGCTACCGCAGCTCGGGTCGTGACTCGTCGTTGGTGGACGCACTGGGCCAGTTGGCCAGTTGCCCGAGGCGCGGGCTGCGGACACCTGGAAGGCACTTGATCAGGTGGGCCCAGCACGTCCGACCATCTCTAAGTCAGACCAAGAGCTTGTCGCGTTGAACCGTTTTCAGGTCTTTGTATTCGAGGTGGCGCTTCTTTCTACATGCTATGTTGGGCTTCGGTTCACGTGGTCGGCTCTTCTGTACACACCAATTTGGGCCAATCCGTTGTGGGAATGGATTGGGTCTGATGTGAGCGCGCAACTTGACCGTTTTTCAAACCGTGTGAGAACAAGCACGGAGGCGGCTACATACCTCAGGCTGCGCGAAAACCTCCACACGGCCGACATTCGTGTCGGCGTCTCCCGCCCTTCTGGTTCCGCCTCCGGATGCACGTAAAGTCTTCAGTAGAGTTCGCACGCTTAGCTGGCGGGAGTAGGCTGTGATGGTGACTAAAGTATCAATGGTGTCAGTTTGCCAGTTGCATCAGATCACAAGTGGGGTTCGGCATTTCAGTGGAGCGTCATCCATCACAGCATGTTTGAGCAGCTCTGCGACAGCGATCGTGCATGTATTCTGTGCTTTGCGTGCGAAGACAAAATCAACGTCTTGTTTGGTGCTGGCCTGTTCTCGCGAGTCCAGCACGCATCAGTTCAAGTTTTCTCGAAGTGGTTGTGCACTACTCCTGCTGATAACCACGTACCACGCCATCCTCCTGTCCATCCGCGTCTGCCATATATCGACTGGGCTTCACCCTTCGCATGTCCAATCTTGGGTGGGTGGGCGGGCCTTCAGAACATACCGGATCAGCTTGACACGTTTGAGACACATGATGACGATGATGATGATGATGGTGATGATGACGATGATGATGAGAGGAGGAGGTGGAGGAGGAAGAGGAGGTGAAGGAGGAGGAGGA